CTTGCATAAGAAGTTGCCAAAATGAAATTATGGGAGATAGTATAAAAGGCTTTGCTAAGTTTGCAGTCAACCATATCTACTGCTCACCTCTCATCCACCAAGCTGGTCACCTCATTGTAGAAGTCACTGCAGTCTGTCAAGCATAATTTCCTCTTCAGAAATCCATGCAGACTATCCTGATCACTTTCTTTACCTTCATGTGTTGAGAAATATTTTACAGGAGGATTTCCTCTATAACATTCCCAAGGATTGAGGTGAAGGTAACCACCTGTAGTTCCCTGGATCTTCCTTCTTGAAGACAGAAGTCATATTTCCTGTCTTCCAGTCTTCAGAAATCTATCCTAGTCACTGGGACCATTCAAAGATAATCAAGAGTGGCCTTGCAATGACATCACCCAGCTCCCTCTGCACTTGTGGATGGAACCTCTCAGGATCTGTGACTTACAGAGCTGTCTGTATCTTCCATCTGAGGTTGCCAGGGTGCAAGAGTCTGACAGCAAATAGACAGTTATTTCAGAAGCACCTGGGTCCTGTGTCTTATGACATCTTTAAGGATGAATATGCTTGACAGAGAAGATTTGATATGCTCTTCTTTGTGCCCTTCTGCATGAACTGCTGTGCAAACTGCTGCACACCTATTAGCTGCTTTTGTTATTGCTGCACAAACTGCTGCAACTCCTGGCTGTTACACAGCCCTTTTCCTGGCATGGGCTAAAAGGGCATTCAGCCCTCCCTAATCAGGGCTCAGCTAGAACAAAAGCTGCAGCAACCCTTTGATAAAGAACAGCTGATGGATTTCATTAGAAGCTGCTAGAGCTACCCTTACCTTAGCCCTACCTGGCAGCAGCAGGAAACCTCTGTCTCCTAAGAGGATTCCAGAAGTTCCCAAATCCCAGAAAGAGTGCTCAGAAGCTCAACAGGGCATCAATAACTCACAAAATAAGAAACTGCTTCAGAAACTGTTGTGTCAAATGCATGCTAAGCCTGAGTGAAAAATAAGCATTTCTAGATTTCACAGGATGGGTGTCTAACAAAGTTGCTTTGATGCTTCATGTTAGGAGAATTTTTGGAATTTGGATTTATGAAAAGAAACAGTATTTATAAAAAATGCATCAAGTTCAAGAAATATTCCTCCTACTAAGATATCAAACCTAAATAAAAAAATAATTTCCAAAAGCTTTGGAATTATATTTTGGAAATATAAATTAACTTTATGGCATTTAAGATAGTGAAGGTAGAGTCTGGAAAACTCCATGTAGTCTGAATTTACTAGACACTTTGAAAAAAGTACAACATGACAAAATTATTTGAAGATTGAAGAAAATTCCTTACATGGGAAGCTGAAGGATCTTAGTTGAACTTTCTCAATGGAATGGTGAATTGCTTACAGATAAAAAACCCCTTTACATAACTCTTAAATGTAAAGCAGACATAAAACCCCGCCAAACAATTGTTGGAGGCTGAAACTACATGCTCAAATGTGAAAGAAACAACATATTTTGAAATGTGGGATTGACAACAAACAATTGCACAAAAAAAATATATAAATAATGAGACATTAAGTTTCTGTTGTTGATGTCTTTCAGGTGGAAACTCTTTTTTTGTGAAAGGTATACTTAGCTAAAATGCAGGAATTTTGAGAGAAATCATAAAGTCCTGCAAAAAGCAGGAAACCAGAAAGATGGCATAGTTGTCCACTGTGGTTTAAATTCCACACAATGCTAGTTTAGCACCCAATATTTCTGGTTTTTGCTGATCAGTAATATTGGACCAGGGACTTCTCTGAGTAACATCTCATTACCTTCCAAAGCTCCTGATGTCATTCTGAGCACTGCTGCAATGCTGTCGTATTATTGCAGCAGTAACATGCTGCTCTGAATGCTTGAAGCCAACAAGAGGGACACTGAAAAATTATGTATGAAGGTAATTCCCACAGAATGGTCTAGTGTCTCTCATATAGGAATGAAGAAAAGGGAATGAGTTGCTGTCTCTACTGGACCACTTCTCTCAGTGACGCGCATTAAAACCAAAGGCTCCTACTTAGTAAGGACTCATGTCTAACATACACCACTTCACAAAAGATAACAAACCTAAACCATGATGCTAGTCACCAGTGTCAGAGCAAGGAGGAACCCTGGTCTTTTTTTCTTTTTTCTTTTTTTTTTTTTAGGAACAGGAAAGGTTTGCACCACAGGAAAACAATGCTGACTAACACATATGAATGGAAGTGGGTACCATGACAAGAGGAGAAAGAAGGGCTGTACATCAACATACAAAATTTAACTAAATTCACTCAAAACATTATCACAACTTAAAGGACCTTTAAACGAGCATTATATGTGTCTTGGGTTGGTTGAAGAATCAGAAATGAGTTCACTGCATGGTCTCTACTTATGGCCAGATTACCATGTAGCCACTATTTCTTCTGCCATAACCATTATTTTCCTCTTCTAAGTAACACCCTAAATATGGATGCACTAGGTATGATAAATCACTGAATCTTTTTTATGGTAGAGCTATAGTAAATGCTAAGTAGTTTCTTTTGTGTAGATACAGAAGCACAGTAGTAAACAAAAACCCCATTGCTTCACTTCAGGTCACAGCTCTGCTCCTCCTCCTCTATTGTTCTGCAAAGGAAATAAGCTATTTAAGTCTGAAGATCATAATTAGTACAACTCATTGCTCATAAAAATTGCTCTCTTCTGCTAAGCCAGCCTTGTGCTGAATGAGAAGACATAACAAAAGAGATGAAAGGAAAATGTGTCACAACAAGTGGAGAAAGAATGGGAACTAATGCAGTTGCTCCTATAAAGGCAACCAACACACTTCTTAAATGCTGAATTATTAATATGCTTATTTATTCAGAAAAAAAAAATTCATGCATTTTGCTAGTACAGAAGTCTGAAAGAAGCAATATGCATAATAATCCAATTTTTATGTAGCAGTGCACTAGTTCTCCATGACTGCACTACTTCCAATTATTATAACTATATTAGTATATCTATTTATTCTTTTTCTTTAATACATACATACATACATATATATATACATATATATATTAGTATGTATTTTATGATGGAGATTAGTCCTATGAGATGAAAGAAATACTACTACCCAGAATATTTCTTCTTAAAATGGGATAGGGATACATTTGTCCTCGGTTCCCTCTATAGTCAACATAGGGAGATGAGTACCCACACTAGGACAGGTTGCCACTTTTGGTATCTCTTAGTAGTTCTCATATTAAACTCAGATATTGGATCATACAGCAAAATCCCACTTACAAGATGCTGAACATGAAAATGCATGTCTCAGGCCAGTTCAAAAAGGGAAAAATCCACTGCATGGCTTTTATTTTTCCCTTTCTATCTCATAGTATAGTGTTGCTTACCTAAGTCACCAGCTCTAACATGAGTCTTTTAGGCATTCTTGGAGTTTTGACAATACCACTATTAATGCTGTTCATTTTCCTCAGTTCCTTAGATTTTATTTGAATATGTGTTCAGAGAACTCTATCTTACACAATAATTCTCCTCTCAGCTCCTTGTTATTCTAAGCCTAGGTTTCAAAAATGCTGAGGTAAGTGGGAATTAAAACTTGGAAAATTACAAGTATGATGCAAACTGAGATCCTAAAAAAATAAGTCTATCAGGTTCTTAAAGTATGACATCAAAATGAAATAGATACTTTTAAATGTTTTGGAGTAGTTGTTTTATTTTTTTCTAATATGTTACAATTTCTGCAAAATGGGTGCAATATCACCTTTAGATGTGAACAATATGTGGAAGGAAAATAATCAGTTGGTTACACAGTCAATATTATGCTTTAATCTTCACAAGACAATCCATGACAAAACCAATAACTTAATTTAATGTGAAAGATTTGGAGATCCTGCTAGAAGTATAATAGAGGAACATGACATCTATAATTAAATAAAAAGGAATATTTAATAGCCATTAGATGTACAGTGTCCTGGTTGTCATCAACCAGAGCAGAGATCTTGTTACAAACAATAAGTTACTGTGTAATTAAATGTATTGGAAACGCAAATGCAAATGAAAATTGAATTAAGACTGCAAACTATATTATTAATGCTTGGGAGGGGGTAGCCAGCAGAAAGAATATTGTGAGCATCTCACTGGTAAAAGATAAAGACAGATGCTGAAGTTTTCGAGTCTGCTGTTGCTGTTGTTCAGCTGAAGGCAACTGGATGCATCGCCGAGATTATAAAATAATCAGCACCCCTGTTTTTATAGATACTGGAGTGAGACAGCAGATCGATTTTATGCATGAATAGGACACGGCCATGATACATGTATCAACCCCCTCATTACCACTGCAAAACGGCTGGGGAATTAAAAAAAATAAATAAATAATTCCACCATTATATATAATATCATGTGCTATCTCTGAATCTTTGCCTCAAGCAGCTAAGTTCATCAAAGAGTGATGTCTCTAAAACAGTCATAACTGCTTCTCAAGAAGAACTAACAAACTGTGTGTTTCCACAGATTTAACAGTCCACAGAAAAACACACTAAAATATGCTAAAGCCAGATATCCATAGCTTTTCAGTATCCTGAATATTTAATTGCTTAACAGTAAGAGTCAGAATAATTATAAAATCTTTAATAGCATATTCACCACAACTTTTGATTCTGCCTTCCTATGTTGACTTTTCCTGAACGGGTTCTCAATCCTTACTTTGAAATTTAAACAACCTCAGCTTTTGAATTTTCATGTTCAACTTACATGAAATTTAGTCCTATTTTTGTAACTTAAAAAACAATAGAAAACAAATCTTTGAGGCCTACATCTGTGCTACCAGTTATTGAAAACACTTTAGATGGTTGAAATTGTTAAATCTCCTTCAAGTGAAGAGAAACCTCAAATGCCAAAGCTCAGTTTCTAGTCAGCATACTTCATACTCAGCTGCTACCTTTCCATTTTTTATTAGTGCTTAGAGAGAAGTCAAATATCAGGGTCAGTCAGCACACTCACCAGTTGTTCACCAAGTTTACTCACCCTTTGACCTTCTGTGCCAGGTGGACCCTGAGGACCCTCCAGCCCTGGCAAACCCTGAAAATACAAACATTAAACATGTAAAACATTCATTGTTATTCTCATCCTGCTTTATTCTGTAGAAGCAAGACTAACTCAAAGAGCCAGATATCAAGAGAAAGCACTTATTTCTAACAATAAAAATAGGTTAGGTATAATACCTTCTTTCAGGATAAGGTTATATTTAGGTGTGAGAAAAAACGCAAACAATAATTATTAATCACATTCCTCCCTATAAAGGATTAAATAATTTGGAAAAGTAGAGGTAAGTCAGCACTACTTTAGCAGTTATATTAACTACAGTTTTATATGAAAAGTGGTTTGTCTCATTAAGATGCCATAAGAAAAAAATAACATAAAAGTTGTATTAAATGAATGACAACTTGCTCTACAACACAAATTCAACTATAGGAACTAAAGGGAGGGGGGGTCAGGGGGTGGAAGGGAAGGGAGTGGTGGGAAAGGGGACTAAATATAGCAGAAAGCCTTACGCTCACTGTATTGTGAGGACCAGCCCTGTGCAATTTCCTCTGTGTGCCTGGTTCAGCTTTTCAAAACCCTTCACAGCCACTTTTCTCTCACACTCTCCCCTGAGCTTGCACAGAAGCTTTGAATGTTTTGAATATACCCTTGACTTCTGGGTCTTTCTCCTCAACTCAATGCAAGGATCTGCCTTTGCAGTCACAGAATCACAGACAATTTCTGAGGCTTTTAGGTTTGAATTTTATATCTGATTAATGTATGATATAACCATAAAGGCTTCAAATAACAGCTCTGATCTTACAACAGTGCTCCCACCCCTTTTACTTTATGAGTCACCTTGGATCACATTTTTTAAAAAAACATAACTTCAAGGAAGCTACCCAATTTCCATTCTAGTAACCAGAAATGTGAAATGAGTTTCAATGTAAACAGCAAAGAGCACTGAACAAGTTTACTTTATATAATAAAAAAGTCTTGAATGCAATCTTGCATATTCTTACAAGGTAGCACAAAATTAAAGAGTTACATTTAGTTTATTTAAGAGTTTGAAATATTAAAATATTAATTTTTTTACCATTTAAATTACTCAGACTCAGGTATTGCTTCTGCTTGAGTCATATCTGGTAAAATTAAGAACACCTTATTTAGAATCAGCTATGCATATTTATTGCCCCAGTAAGGTAAACTGAGGACCTCTAAGAGTCCTGTTTTAAAAAAATTCCAGATTCCAGAAATTAATTTTAGAAGTTCATTTATGATCCCTGACTCCCAAGATAAACTTGAGAAAGTGGGCTTGCCAAAGCTGCCAGGTCATATATCTTCAAGTGATGCTTTAAGTCAATTAGACTGAGATCTGACCTAAACTTTAAATAAAAGGTGTAATTTTAAGAGTTTTTCTATTCTTATTGCTTCTTTATTTTCAGTCACTGAAGCTAGAAGAGTACATCAGACATTGTTAACTATAGGTTATTTCTCCTTTCACTTCAGTTTATAATGTAAACAAGATGAGGTTTAGGATCTTTTACACAAGTGATGCACACCATTTCCATCTTTTCCTATAAGTTTATGGACCTACAAGGTGTATGTCAATGTTGTGTCCAGCAAATAAATCATAGAAAGTTGATTACAGTGGAGTTATGGAGCTTGTATATGCAAAAACCCATAAAGCAGTATCTGAGTATGAGCTCTTTAAACCTTCTCTCCTTTTTCCTTGAGGTAGTGTGGCATTTACAGATAATTCTGTCTATCCTTCTGTTAGCAATATTCTAGCTTTGTAGAGAAATTCTGGGAATTCAAGAATGGGTGGAGTTTTGTTTTGTTCATATTTCATTTCTAATCTCAACTTTTGCAGGGGAATGAGATGGAAACTTGTAATGTCTGTTTTATGGAGGAAGAAATACTTAGCCTCACATATCTGTACAATAAGGCTCCAAGGACGCAAGAAATACACGAGAATGTAACTGCACAATAATGATAATTAATAGCCAACATTTTTGTCCTAGACCTACTTTTAGTCTTTTTCTTCTCTCTGCAATGTTATTATCAAGAAAAAGGAACCAGATAAGGAGGTTTATCTTCAAGGAAAGGGAGGAGAGCAGCTTACAATTGGTAACTAGGCAGAGAGGACTACCCTGTACAAGGAGCCACATCCTGACATTGAAGCTGAGGTAAAAGTTCACACTAACTTCAGTGGGATCATGGGCCATGTTAACTAACTGCAATAACTTGGCAACTGTAATGACTTTGCAATGCTGTCCCTATTCAGCATTCACTGAATGAGATCCTGAAAAAAAAAACCCTGAAGAAAAAATCTGCAGGAGGAATAAAAAGAAAGCTGCTCAATAGTGAAATCTCTCCAAAGGGATGAATAAAACATCCCCTGTTAGATCTATAAAACTTGGCAATAAACTGGTAACAGTTTAGCACAGAAAAGGACATATTTGTAGGAAAGCAGATTAAAGTATCTACTTTGGTCTTATCTCTATTTAACTTCTGGATATTTCCCTTTAGAGAGATCTCTCCAAAGATCCCTCAAAACATATATGGTGCAGCAGCCAGACAACCCGCACCAAAAAACCCCACCACTGCAGACAGAGAAAGGGACAGAGAAACAAAATGCTTGTGTCAGAAGGCAACCTATTTTACATGTACTGTCTCCATCAGTTAACAACATCTAAAGCAAATAAAATGATTCATTATGCACTAAAGGAAACACACGGGGTAGAAGCTAGGGCAGGTATCCTGGGAGGATTACAGAGAGGTTGTCCAAGCAGCTAGGGATCAGGTTAGGAAAGCCAAATCCCTGCTAAACTTAAATCTTGTCAGGGATGTTAAGAACCATAAGAAAAGCTTCTTTAGGTATGTTGGGGAGAAAAGGAAATCCAAAGAGAGTATATGCCCTCTCCTGAAGGGAACAGACGAGGTAACAACACAGGATATTGAGAAGGTTGAGGTCCTCAATGACTTCTTTGCTTCAGTCTTCTCTGGCAAGTGCTCCAACCTCAGAACAAAGGCCATAGAAGGTGAAAGCAAGGACTGGGAGAGTAAATCCCTCCCACTGTAGGTGTAGAGCAGGTTCATGACCATCTAAAGAACCTGAAGGTGCATAAATCTATGGTGATTGGAAATAAAGGGAACATAGCCCCTATCTTTAAAAATGGGAAAAAAGAAAGACCCAGGGAATTACAGGCTGGTCAGTCTCACCTCTGTGCCTGGCAAGGTCATGGAGCAGATCCTCCTAGAAAGTCTGCTAAGGCACATGGAAAATAAAGAGGTGATTGGTGACAGCCAACATGGTTTCACTAAGGGCAAGTCATGCCTGACCAATCTGGTGGCCTTCTACAACAAGGCTACAGAGATGGTGGATGGTGGCAGAGCAACTGAGGTCATCTACCTGGATTTGTGTAAGGCGTTTGACACTGTCCCACATGATATCCTGGTCTCCAAACTGACAAGGCACGGATTTGACAGATGGACCACTGGGTGGATAAGAGATTGGCTGGATGGCCACACCCAGAGAGTTGTGGTCAATGACTCAATGTCCAAATGAAGGAAGGTGACGAGTGGTGCCCCTCAGGGGTCAGTACTGGGACCAGTGTTGTTTAACATCTTTGTTGGAGGCATGGACAGTGGGATTGAGTGTCTCCTCAGCAGATTTGTTGATGATACCAAGCTGTGTGAAGTAGTTGACATCCAAGAGGGAAGGGATGCCATCCAGAGGGACCCTGACAGGCTGGACAGGTGGGCCAGTGCCAACCTCATGAAGTTCAAAAAGGCTAAGTGCAGGGTCCTGCACCGGGGTTGGGGCAACCCCAGGCACATATACAGGCTGAGGAGAGACTGGCTGGAGAACAGCCCTGAGGAGAAAGACTTGGGGGTGGTAGCAGATGAGGAGCTTGACATGACCTGCCAGTGTGTGCTGGAGCCCAGAGAGCTTTTCATCAGAGAAGAGTGACAGGACAAGGGGTAATTTTAAGCTGAAAGAAGGGAGATTTAGGTTAGATATTAGGAAGAAATTCTTCACTAAAAGCGTGGTGAGGACCTGGAATGGGTTGCCCAGGGAGGTTGTTGATGCCCCATCCCTGGAGGTTTTTAAGGCCAGGTTGGATGAGATTTTGTGCAACCTGATCTAGTGGTAGGATTCCCCGCTCATGGCAGGGGGCTTGGAATTTGATGATCTTTAAGGTCCTCCCAACCTTAATGAGTCTATGATTTTATGATTTTCACTGTGATAGCCCTGCAGCAGTAAGAGGATGGGTGTGGTGATGAGTAAAAGGAGGTACAGGGATAACACAAAGCAAAATGAGATTTAAGTGCTTTTTCAGTGACATCAGATGCCAGGAAAACATAATGCATCCTTACAGGTGGCCTAACATACACAGGATTTTCCTGACTCTGTCAGATCACCTTTGAGGTTGGAAGGTGCTGGCATCCTAACTACTTCATGAAGAAGCAAACTGAAGTAACATATGCAGTCTTTAGGGCTTGTATCTATTATGGATCAGGCAAACCCTATGGAGTTATGCACCTGAAGGAGCTCAAGGAGCATGAAGCGGAAATATCTCAAACTTTACCAGGTATCTTGGGGAAGCAAAAGAGTCAGTAAGCTTGAGATGAGCTCAAGTGCATCTGAAACTTAGAAAATCTATTATGATGAATGAGGATGGCTATGAAAAGAGATAAAATGTGATGTACAGGCAGGCACAAGAGGGTTGTAAAAAAAAAATCTCAAAAATTCAGTGAACAGAAACTTGTGAATACTTTTATAAGAGTTAAACTGTAAAGGAGAGTGTTGGCAAGGGAAAAGATGGTGGTTGTGAGGCTAGATAAAGAAAAAGCAAGCTTGCTATGGAACACAAGGTCACAAATATTTAAACAAAATGATCACCAAAACTTATTCCCTTATTCTAGGGAACAGAGGAAAACCAACAGATTTTAAAAATGTTACGGCAGAACAAGTAAGATTTTAAAAGATCTTGCATCTCATTGAAAAATATCTGTAGGAATTAACATTTTAATACTTAGCAGTTAATATT